TGTTATTATTTCACTTTGCCTTGGTTGTTGAAGTCATAAATATTTATCTGCTGTAAAACCTAAAGTCTCTGATAATAAAGGAATTTACTTAAAATTTACATCGAGTTTCCCTTCAACCTTCAGACTCATTTGTCACTTAATTATTATGTCCATAAGCCAAAATTGTAGCATCAGAGACAATAAAAATCTACAAAGAAACTCTTTGAAGGCTCTTCCGTTCACATAAAGATACTGTTTGCTGTGGTCGGGTGTTTTGATAGATCCTTAATTTATTGAAACGATGAAGATATGACACACATTCATAATTATAATCACTATAATCATATAATTTTCAATCATTTATTTGAATATAAGTGTGTAGAATCTTTAAAGATATGTATATGGAAGATATGTGGAGGCAATAGAACTGTGCTACAAGCCCTACTCCTTTAATTTTTTTTTCCCTAAACCTTTTAGATTTTTTGTTTTTTATTCTCAAATGTTTTGGAAATAAATATGCGTCAAGATATCTTTAAGCTTTTATCAGTTATATGCTGACAAAGTGATGAAAATTACCTGAGAACTATTCAATACTTCAATACAGTAGCCCTTCTTCAATTCATGCAGTGATATTTCCAATATTAGTATTGGCCAGTTATTTACATTTATCTATGCGTCCGGCTGGTTCTAATAAAACTTAAGATTTTAGCCACAATCTCGAGTAATTTTAAATCAAAACGACTTCCTTGGTTAAGAAGGAGAAGGATTGGATCTTTCTTCCACTTTACCTACCTACCTATTCAATACTATACGGCATCCCGTAGTGAAGACTTGAGTGTTGTTATATATCACGGGTTCAAACAGTGTATTAACGTAAAAATTTGATCAAAATTTTGATTACAACTGCGGTTTATTTACTTTTGCTTTTGGTACTACAAAATGCTAAGTCAAAAATAAACGTTCCCTTCTATTTGCATTTCAGTGATTATATCTATAATCAATTCATCATGGATTAATATTCAGAATCAAATGAAATTTTAAAAAGTCCAAAACTTTATGCAAATATGTATCTACTTTAAAAGGCAAGTAAACAAATCCTTGATCCAAGTTGATAGAAACTTCCTACTATCTATAATCGAATGATATTAATTGCTTTGAATTTTTTTTAGTAATTGACTTAAATAAAGACCTTTGCTATAAATGTTAAAACAAATACATAAATTGGTTAGGGTTAAAGTAATAAATTAAAAATTCAAACAATACCGATGTTTATTTAGCTGAAGTCCAATCATCCACAAAACTTTCATGAGACCCAAGTAATGGCCATTCAAAATTTTTTTTTTTATTTTAAAGATTTTTTTAAAATAATTTTAAAATCGTTTTCTCTTCACCAATAAAAAATAATAAAAAAAAATATTCTCACATAAAGGGTGCAATGTATTCATGCAATGCTCATGTCTACATATGTCTTAAAAAGGATTGGCATTCATTTCCTTAGAGTAAAGGGTTAGCTTATTACTACAATCACAGATGTAGCAGTTAATGAAGCCGGTGAGTCCGGCTATTCTCATTTAATTCGGTTTCAACTAGAAATGGATATTCATTTTATTTTCTTCATGGGTAAGACATTGCGGCTAAGCATCGCATTTTAACCTAAAAACTTACTTATAGTAAATAATTTTCTTTTATTTTATATGTTTTTTTTTATATATTTGTTCTTAATATTATAAATAGTTTTTTTCATTTTTTATACTTGAGAAAAAATTTATTTATTTTTATTATAAATTATATATTATAAGCAAATATTTTAATATGTTTTTTGTTGTATTTTTTTATTTCTTTCATTAAACATGGTTCAGTTTGTTTTTTTTTTTTTGTTGAACATATTTTCTCATATTTTCCTTTTATTTTTTAAACATGGTTTTGTTTTCTTAAACATGTTTTATTTTATTTTTTTTTTTTGTGTTAAACATGTTTTAAGTTTTTTTTTTTTGTAAACATGTTTCCACGGTTTTCGTTTTTGCTAAACATGTTTCCGTGGTTTTTCTTTTATTTATTAAACGTGTTTCCATGATTCATTTTTACTTTTTAAAACATGCTTCCATGGTTGTTTTTTTTTTGTAAAACATGTTTCCATGATTCTTTTTACTTGTTAAACATGCATTCATGGTATTTTTTTTATATATTAAACATGTTTCCATGGTCTTAAATTATTAATTTTTTTTTTGTTAAACATGTTTTAATAAACATGTTTCCATGGTCTTAAATTATTAATTTTTTTTTTTGTTAAACATGTTTTAATAGAATTTAATTATTTTACTGGACTACGAGATACTTATCATTGTAGATACGTATATCTTTGTAGTCTGAATTTTAATTTTTTTTTTGAGATTTATTTTTCTTAGTCTAAGTTTTAATTGCTAGAAGTGTATTAATTAATTTAAATTATTTCTATTTTTAGTTTTAATCAAATACATTTGAAATAAACAGAATGAAAGGAATTGTAAATGAGTTCAATAATAATGTAAGGATGATAAATGCTGAAATCTTTATATACTTCATTACATATAAGGACTTTTATATACAAAATGTTGGTTTTGTGCATTCTTGTATATTGCAGAATTTGAGTTTTTTTTTGGCGTAGGATATGTTTCCTCTCTTACAGAGCTTACTTATTAATAATTCCTTAAGTAATTATAAATTGAATTTATCGCGTTTTATGATTTAATGTTAGAAGTTTTGGGTTTAGACCTATGTTTTTCTTTATTACTTTATCTGTGGCTTCTTTTGCTGTTCTTATTGTTAATATTCTGTTGATTCATAGTTAATTTCTTTCTGCGCTTTTAAAAAGTTCAGTTCAAAATTGTTAAGAAGCTTCATTCGCTTATCCATGAAATAGTTATCTCAGTCTAGAGCAAAACAACGAACTGCTATATGTTAAGATGCCATAGGTGAGTACAGCTATTGCGAGTAGAAGTTTAGAACTATTTAGATTATATGAACTTCCAGTAGCTGAACCTGTAATGGGAGAGAGGGTTTGTTTATTTAAAATTTTAAAATTAAAAAATAAGTTTTTTTTGAAATATTTTTTATTACCATGAGTTTGAGATTTGGCAGCCACCGTTTCACGTGATTCGAGAGCTGGCGCACGTTGTTGACGGTCACTTTCGACACTTTCCTCATTACTTTGCCAGTATAATGATGAGATCTTAGCGACACACTATAAACAGTTTTATGTTTCAGTTTATGTTTCAATTATAAACATAACTAAAGTGTGAAGAATATTGTAAACATACCTTTAATTTCATATCGCCGTGCTTGAAATGATAGCTTCTCACTCGAAATTCTAATCCCAAACGCGCCATTTCCAAACCATCACGGCTAACTTTTTCGAATTGTTTTAGGTATGAGCGGTTGGCTGGTTCTCCATTGATGAGCCAACTGAGATGACAAACTGGTTTCGATGGTGCTGAGGTGCAGTTGAGTTTAACAATGTCACCAATTTGATATCGTGGCTGACCGCCCGTTATTTTAGGACCATGGCTGGGTGTAACTGTTGCAAAATAAAGTCAGTAATAAAGTGAACAGCGCTACGAAAAAGGTATTTCATTTATGTTTAAATAAAAATTGTACTTTATGCCACTGAATAACTTATTTTATATTTCCTTTAGCAAAATTAATTTATAACTGCCAGAAATTTTATTTACAAGTCTGTAAAGTTTGATGCGAATAAGCAGCCCACGTTATATTTACTTCAATCCTTCATTGGATTTTATTCATTTTAAGGAAGTTTGTGTGCTAGTGAGCTTGCGAGTTTGTACTTTTCAACCGAAGTCGTTCCCGATGGCCGAAGGGATTCTTTAAAAATTCATGAACGAAATAACAGTAAATAAAAAATGGAGCCCTTTTCATCAGTTCCAAATTTCATATTTTAACTTAAAGTTTTCGCATTCATTTAGTTTACGAAAAAAAAAAAAATTTCTTGGTCAAATATGCAAATTAATACAGAAGAAAGTATACATATGCACGTACATCAAAGAAGATATATACGAGTATATAAATATGTGTATATAGATGTGAACCAAGTAAGTTAGCCAACTTCTTGTTGTTTTCTTTACCCAACTACCTACCTACCCAGCGTCTCACATATGGCTTAATATGAAACATAAAAAACCCAAAAACAATGAATATTTTACTTTATGCCTTTGGGGTGGTGGCAGTGGGTTTCCGAACTGGGTTGAGTAGATGAATTTTTTAAGGATGTTACGACCATATTATATATGCAAAAGTAAAATTACCCAAAAATGTCAGTTTTACATTTATTTTTCTATGATAAATTGTAAAAGTAACACAATTTGAGCTGCTTTATGTACATACACACACGCACACACATACATCAGAGCATCAGAGCATCAGGGCCCCATATACGTACAAACAAATGTCCCGAAACTTGTGCACACGGGTAAACAGAGATACGAGAAAACGAGGTGATATCTGTGATACTAATGCTGGTTTGTTGAACAACTTTTAAGACATAAATAAGAAAATACTTTGGAAATCCAGTACAAAATAAGATACTTCTACGTATTAATGCTTTGGCAACAAAAATTTTACAAATATTTTCGTTAATTTATGTCAATATAATAAAAAAGAGCATCAAGAAAAGTACAAAAAAAAGATTAGTGTTCTTTTTTTGTGTGTGGCTATTGGAATTCAACCTAAAAGGATTAATATTATAAAGAAAAACAAATTAGGAATTTATTATAATATAAATATTTGTAATCAATTAAGTGTAGTTATTCGTTTCGTATCTTTCCCCGTACTCCGAGACCAATTGAAAAAGGTACATACCACTGGCTCCGTCCGCTGCTGATGCTACATCATTTTACCATATTTTCTTGGTATAAGTAATCTTCATTAGAAAACCTCCATAAAATGTCTCATAGATGGCTGAATATAGATGTCTTTTGTATGTGTATTTGATAGCATTTTAAGTCTTATAAATATATTAAACCGATAATAATTTAAAAATAACCAACTTAGCGCATAACAAAATAGATGAAATTTAGTGTATGCAGACAGATCTAAATAAAATGTTACTGTCATGTATACGGGGATGTGAAGTTATTTATTGTCCCAGTGCGATATATTAACGGGAATGTTATTTAAGCACATAATGCTTTAGCTTAAATATATAAATATAGTAAATATAATAACTACAATTATTTACTATATTAAATATTGTAAATATTTAGCTTAAATATTGTGCAAAACTGCAGTTTCTTGGCTAGACTTTAGTTAGAAAAGCTGAATATTTTAGAATATTGCACGAAATATAACTTAACGATTTTACGAGGGTCACCATTTATATTTTGAGTCTAATAATAAGGAAAAACCTACTAACTTGTCGTTGAACATTGCTTTATTGTTTTTTGAAGGAGTGTTCTCCTTTTATTCTTGACCGAACATCAAGAACAAGAAGTCGTTGGGTGCCAAATCAGAACTGTACGGCAGATATCCCAAAAATTTGATTTTTTGAATGTTCAAATAGTCGGTTGTAGGTCGAGATGTGTGAGCACTCACATTGTCTTGTTGGAAATGGAGAATAATCCGACGGAGCTTCTTTGTTTTCCTTATTTCACTGCAGACTTCGGCTAAATTAATGATTATACACCATTCCGAGTTTACAGTTTTCCGTTTCTGTAATGGTATCCGATTAGTTGTCAAGTGATCCAAGGGCTTCGAGCGCGAACAACTTTTATTGGATTTGGTTTATCTTGAAGCATCCATGCAATCGACTCATGTTTAAGTGGCGGCTCATACGCATATATCGATGATTCATCACCTATTATAATCTTATATACGTCTTTTAAAGCACCGCCATTGTTTTTCTTGTTCTTAAGCGTTTTTGTGCACCAATCGAGACAAGCATCTTTTTGAGATTTTGTCAAATGATTAGGGTTGGGGGGATACATCAAGAACAAATCATTCTCATGCCTAAATGATCGTGCAATGATAATGGTAATGCCTAGGGTTTCCCCAATCTCATAGTATATCGCATGACGTATTACGATCTTACATTATCAGTCTTTGCACAGCATCAATGTCTTCTGACACAACAACTGATTTTAGACCGAATTGATTGCTGGATATTGCAGACATTGTAGAGATGAATTAAATATAGAATTATTTCGCAGCCGCCCATCTCTAAATAGAACCAGAGCGAGAGTTTTGTTTAATTTTTGCTCTCATGAATATTATAAAAATTGTAGAAATAATTTCTGAATATTGTGGAAATTATAAAGACAAATTAGAGGTAAAGCAATCGAAATTTTCCTGTAGCTGCTTGGTTCAAGCTAAGAACATGATGAATATTAAACAATTGTTCCTCTCATGAATATAGAGATAGTTTTCTAAACTATAGAGTCTACTTTTACCCAAAAATACTCTTACAGAAGTGTTCAGTGCTAAAATTACAAGTCTTTTATTTTTCATTAAGGCTTCATAATGGCTTTATACTTATATAAGATTTAAGGCCATATCGGTGCTAGGGTCTACATGAGTTTAGTTAATTGGACAGTCTGCGACAGTAACTTAAGCTTACTTAATCTATCACATGGTCGGTGACGGGAATAGATGTTTTGTTTTATATATTCCGAGATTATATTTTAAGCATGATATTTATTAGTGACATATGATGTGAATTTAGATCGAAGTGCTTTATTAAATGTCTTTATTTAGAACTATCAATGGACTGAGTTGTAAAATAATACTTACTAAATTTTCAAAAATACTTTCTCATTTGATAATCGGCCTACGGTATGTGTTGAAATGGTTTTATACTGTTTAGTAGTTTTAATACTTCTTAATTTATTTAAAAATAAAATAAATCGAAAAAACTTAGTCTTATTATTTAAGACTATTACGAAAAATTGAATTTTATTGCAACATAAATTCTGACACGAAGCTGGGAAATTGAAAAATTTTAATTATTTGTGCAAATAAATTAACTTCACATGTATGTTTATTAATATATTTTTTTTTTTCGTGTTTGCGGAATTTGAAAGGACTTAGATAAACCAAACTTGAACTAAACTATTTTCATCAATAATTTATGTTATACTCGTACATTCTTATACTGAAGAAGAAGGGAGAAAAAAATTTAGAAGAAAGTACGATAGTAAACTTTCTTTCCAAATATGTAAAAAGGTTAATTGACACGAATGGAAAAACGAGAAGATGAATATGCATGCATTAAAAAAGGACATATAAAATTTGAAGTTTGAAAATTTGAGCAAGAATAATTGCAAAAATAGGCTATTAATCTTTTAACAACTCCGGATATCACGCACATTTCTTATCTGCCAAAATAGGCCAAACAAAGGAGCAACTTTATTATTAAACCTGTAGCTGCTTGAGTGCCTTATGTCCTTGTGTTGTTGGCAATGGTTTGCATAAATAGAAGAAGTGGCTTCTCAGTGTTGTTTTACAAATTTTACGTCCATCCTTTTGCCTCTGGTGCCTCCAAGTAGCTTTTCAGTTCGATATTATTTTTTCGTTTTTCCATCTTATTAAGTTTTAATGAGCTCCAAGAAATACGGAATGCTTACTTTTTTTTTTTTTTTATTTTTTGTTACAGTTTAGTGCAAGTTTTTCCCGTAAGTACTTCATTAAATTCCCGTTAGCTGTTTTTGTATCCTCTATCGCTATGCCACCATAACTTTATGTGCTTTCCCAATTTGTTATGCTGAACACTCTGATGAGGTCGCCGAAGATATGCGGTTGCAAAAGGCGGAGAAGGAAGTTCCTAGTTTAAGCAATGAAATACATGCAGCTAGCAGTTACTCTCATATGCAAAAACAAAAAAAAAACACAAAAAAAAATTATATCTAAAAGAAAAAAGAAAAAACAAAGAATATATATAAAGAAAATATCATAATAATAAAAAGAAATTAACTGAACAGAGGAAGACGTAAAAGCAGAAGTGAAGTATAAATATATTGTCTTGAACTCCTTTTCTTTCTGAAAACTGAAATTTTAGCATATATTCTTCTCACATAAAGCAGGTCTACGACCCTCCGGCATATACGAAGACATTGCAATATATTTTAGCTGCTCAACGTCATTCTGCCTACTGCCATGAGTTTTTCATTTTGCTCAACTGTTATTAAATTTCATGCTACTATTTTGCACTTGTACACTTTTGCAATGCCAGAGTTTCATTTTTATTTTCACACATACACAGATTCACACACACATACATACACACAGATATGCACATAGATACAAACACAGATATACACACAGATGCACACACAGATACATACATATATCTTTCACTTAGAATTTATTCCTTTAATATATTTTATATGAGGCACAAATAACACAAACAGCACACAAACACAAACACACACATACACACACACACACACACACACACACACACGCAAGAGCTGCAAGGAAATAAAATTTGGGATTTAAATTAGAGTAAAATTTTATATAAGTTTTATGGTTTTTATATAGTTGTTGGATGGCATATTTGAGCTAAATTAATATTTTATTTATATATGTCTTATTGCTATCCGGCTTTAGCCCTGGCTTCTACTGCAGCTTCAGCTTCAGCTTCAGCCTTCGGAATATTTGCACATAGGTTACTTTAAGTGCTTCCCATTAACTTAAATAGTTGGTATAAAACGCTTCCCTCACTAAAAATGCTATAATTTCTGAATAAAATAAAAAATTGGTGAGAATTCCTAATGCCAATGTATAGAGAAAAAAAAGTCAAATCCTTAATAGCCAAATGCGTGTTTTTTTCTCCCCATTCCTTGAAACATTTGGATTACGATACTCTTGATTAAAGGCATCATTTAGAGTAAATCGATTGTGTGGTTTAGTATGTGGCAGGTACGCATTTTAAGTGAAGTAACATATATGTACCATATCCAGCATCAACGCGAAGGGAAAGCATAGTCGTTACCTAAATGGACTATCACAGAAATTATACAAAATATAGACATATCCGTAGTGCTTTAAAGTAACTGTGCTATGTAATGCTAAGATATCGTAACTTAAAAGACATAAAAATCTATTCAAAAATATAGAGTTAGAAGTTAGAAATACTAATGCGGAAAATAATAGTCAAGACTATAGCTTAAACATGACATAGCACCACATGGCGTACCATATAGCGACCACTTACGTTGCAATAAAATTATTTAATTAATTAATTAGTTAATTTTTCAGTTGTTAATTTTTTAAGATACCGTGGTCTTTCTCTGTGATAAAAAAACTAATAAAAAAAAAGCATTTTTTTAATTTATAAAGAATTCAATTAATACCATTAATTTCATTAATTTAAATTTTTTTTATTTAATTTAATTAACTAATATTATTGCTTTCTAGAGTGAATTGGAACCACAAAATTTTTCAACAAATTGAATTTTTGCCTGACAACACATCCATTTCGACTATTACCAAATACCAAGTAGGTGTGACCATCAAAACATGTTCTAAGAACGTCCAGAACGTCTTGCTCAACAGCAGCAAAACGTGGACTTGACAACCATGAAGGTGGGATACTGGTTCCAAATCAAATAGGTTTTTACCTAAGCCCACAGCAATTATGAAATTAATATATGGCATAGTATAGTTTAAGTAGGGTATTTAAGCGCACAATAGATCAAAGCAAACTACGTTAGTAACTAGTTCACTAGTAACTAGTTGTAGTACTAAAACACAATATATATACATACTTTTTAAATGTTTGTTATTAATTCAAAAATAAATTGTTTATAAACTCTTTTACTATTATTTAATAAAATAATAAAAAGCTTTTAGATTTTGAAGCTTTTGAAAGTAGTTTTTAGTTGAGTTTAAATCTCTATTTTTTTATCAAAGAATAAAAGTACTATTTATACTCTGCTTGGCGGCCCACCGCAGGAATATTTCTAAGGTAAGGCATGCCTGTAGTGAGAAACAAATAAAATAAAAATAGACACCTCTCGATAATCTTTAAAATATAAATTGTAGTGAGTTAGTTTTACTTGTGGCACTCGAGCGGTGCTGAAAATCGGTACCAAGGGGGCAGCTCCGGCTGTCCTTAACAACTAAGGTTACCATAGTCACTACAGAGGGGGTATCGTGGTGGCTATAGTTGAAATTTCAAACTAATGCGGGTATCGTAGTGGCTATGATTTTGCGGATAGAAAGACAGTGTTGATCACTTTCATACATTTTATCACCTATTGCTGTGTTCTAAGAAAGAGCAATGGTGTTATATGAGCCTGGTTTCCTACCATAGATAAAATTATAACTATATGTATAGATGCAATTGCTAAGGGAGATATTTCTTTTTGAAATTTTATTGAATGCGTTTATCGTTGCATTGTAGTGCTATGTGTGTTAAGAATACCGTGGTTATAAGCCTCATTATAATAGGTGATCGCGTTAGAAAATTATGAAATCCCTCTCTCTCTCTCTTTCTGCTTGCTGGTTTGATAGCTGATGTGTATGTAAAGGAACTTCATAAAGAAGATGTTCTTTTATTATTTAAATTGCTATACTGATTAAGCAGTATAGCGTATTTTTCAGCATTTAAAAATCTTTTAGAATATATTCTAGTCGTTGTTCTTAATTTAAATATCTAAATCAATACAACCGATTTTTCAGCATCTGAATAAGTGACTAAATTAATAAAAAGCTTTTAAAAAATAATCAAGTCGTAGCTCTTGATCCAAATATCTAGAAATTAGAATAACACAAATCAAATGGTCGTTTGTATTAGCACTCTAATCCACGGTTCAAATTTGATGGGGTTCAACTCCTAACACTTATAGTCCAAAATTGTATCGCGTCTAATAAAGTAATAAATATTTAAAAAAAATAAAATGGAATTAAAAAAAATAAATTAAAACAATAAAATAAATAAAAATTAAACGAAATAACAAAAAGGATGACGTATATGTAGTTTTAATAATATAAACTTATAATCGTCATCCTGATGATGACTCTCAAAGAGAGTCGAACTAATTAAAAAGAAGAGGTCTACAGCCAGATTAAAAAATATATAATAACCATAAATAAAAATTGTTTTAAAAGTCGACTGATAATAGATGTTCGACGGTGTCCAAAACGATTAAATTGTCCAAAACGGTGGCCAAGTT